TGTGTGTCTGTGTGTGTGTGTGTCTGAGTGTGTGTCTGAGTGTGTGTGTGTGTGTGTGTGTGTGTGTGTGTGTGTGTGTCTGAGTGTGTGTGTGGTGTGTGTGTGTGTGTGGTCTGAGTGTGTGTGTGTGTGTCTGAGTGTGTGTGTGTGTGTGGTGTGTGTGTGTGTGTGTGTGTGTGTGTCTGAGTGTGTGTGTGTGTGTGTCTGAGTGTGTGTGTGTGTGTGTGTGTGTGTGTGTGTGTGTGTGTGTGTGTGTGTGTGTGTGTGTGTGTGTGTGTGTGTGTGTGTGTGTGTGTGTGTGTGTGTGTGTGTCTGAGTGTGTGTGTGTGTGTGTCTGAGTGTGTGTGTGTGTGTGTGTGTGTGTGTGTGTGTGTGTGTGTGTGTGTTGTGTGTGTGTGTGTGTGTGTGTGCGCACATATATATTATTTCTGCATCCACAGCAACATGATTACAGCGCTGACGACTGAGGCCCTGGTAACCACGGCAACAGCACAACATGGCTGAAGTGATCAGGGTTTTTTTTTTTTTTTTTTTTTTCCTCCCAGTCTGCGAGGCGGAGTTTGTTTCTTGTTACTGGGACGGACAAAGATGTAGCTGTGAGTCATCCTGGAGGCCGGGAGCCGAGCCAGAGCATTCCTCTTCCTCCTCCTCCTCCTCCTCCTCCTCCCCTTCATCACTCCCTCCTCTTCCTCCTCCTCCTCCCCTTCATCATCCCCTCTTCCTCCTCCTCCTCCCCTTCATCACTCCCTCCTCTTCCTCCTCCTCCTCCCCTTCATCACTCCCTCCTCTTCCTCCTCTCTGTCTTTGTCTGCCCTTTTTTTATTTGACTCCCCTTTTCTTTTCGCTGTGCGCTGTGAACATTCCCAAACAGCTTTTATGAAAACAGATTTGTTTCTGTTTGTGAACCAGAATATTCCGCCTGGCCTTCCAGCACAGAGGTCTCCGTGTATCACAAACATTCGCCTTTTTCCACTTTATTGGTGCGAGCTGAAGAAGTGTGACGCGGTCTGCATGTGTTTGCTCATCTGTTGGGTTGAGACCATATTGGTTTGTCCTCCTGCTGGTTGCAATGGTTGCAATCATTGTGAGATTGTTTGAGAAAAGCTGCAGATTCTCTCCACACAAACTGACAGCTTTCACTGCTTCAGCAGAGCAACATGCCAGCAGAAACTCTGCTTATTTACGCCGAAATGAAGAAATTTACTGGATTATATCAACACAACACGGATCTGGTTGTTTATAGGAGCAAAAACCTGCATTTTTATCTCATCCTGCATAAACATTTCATCACATTTCACCGGTTTATGCGTCCATGGTTACATGCAATTCAGGTGATCTGAATGTATTGCTGTCAAAAACCCACATTATGACACAAATAAGTTTAAAAATGGCTGAGGATTTAATGCTTCAGTCTTTGTCTTAAAATGCCTTTGTGGGTTTTGAGGCTTAAATTTTGAAAACGTCAGAAAATGCAGAGAAACAAAACCGCTGTCTCTTTAAATTGCAGCATAGCTGTTATTTTAGTAAATTTAATCGCTTATATCCAAATTTAAAATAAAAAAAACATGAAACAAAGTGATTCACATACTTAAAAAAAATAAGAAAAATGTAAGAATGCAAACCTTCAGTCAGAATGCTAATAGAAACAACGGATTTTTCATTTAACCTCATAATCCCATTTATACAAGATTACAAATACATTGAAATAAATCATTCATTTTTTAAAATTAGACAATACAGTAAGTTTTATCTGTAGCAAATGATTCATCCACAACTAAAAATAAAAATTAATTCCAACATTGATGTATGAAAAACTCATTTCTTTCTGCTCAATTTAACATCAATGCAGTGTTAAAATAATCTGTTTATCTTCATGGATTAGCTGATAGTTGGAGCTTAATGAAAGATTTTCTTAACACAATTTCAACTAAATGAATCTGAAAGTGACACAATTAACGAGTCCTTTTATTTATTCTAATCCTAAATGTTTGTTTTGGCTTCATTACTGCTCTGACTGTGGTTCTTTCAACAAATTGTCTTTTTTCTTTAATTTTCTGCAGTTAATGATTAATTGATTACTAAATTGATTTTTTTCAGTCTGATTAATCAATTCATCCATAGACAGCAACATGTTTGACAATAGGCCTGGTGTGAAGCAGGCCTATCTCGCACTGCAAAAACACAAAATCTCACCAAGACTTTCTGTCTAGTTTATAGTGCAAATGTCTGAATTTTATTTCAAATGTACCGTCTCACAAATACATTTTTAGCAAAATATAGGAGCTTATTTCAATCAATAATTCCAGAAAAGTTGCTTGTTCCATTGATTATTTTCACTGAACACATTTTTCCCATGTTATAAATTAAGTCTACCACTGAAATTAAAACTTTATCAACATTAAATATTTACTTAAAACAAACTCCAATGTCTTGCTGAAAAATTATTTTAACCTTATAAATCCTGATAACTTCAATGATCAGAAAATTCAGATTTTTCTTTTAATCTTTTATGCAGAAAAAACATTTTGTTTGCATCATAATTAATACATGAAGCCTCTACTGTCAAATCATAACCAAATATTTTGTAATCACGTAATCAACATTGCATGATACTTAATTTATTAATTTAAAAGTATATATGTGTTTAATAAAACTACAATTGATCAACATGTATTAGAGAAATGATCATATCAAAAACGATACGTTAGGTGTTAAAAACTAGACCAAACACGGTTGGTAAGATTTAGTTTTTGCAGTGTAATTCTACGCTTTTTAACGAGTATTGTTTTGCAGTAATCACACCTGTGAGATCCAACCAGCAGAACGTTTTTAGTCCAGCAGCGTTTACCGCAGGAATTCAGGGAATGTTTCCTGTCTGAACGTAAAGGCGCGGCACACCTGGATCGTAAAGATCTGCGAGTTTCTCCTGCAGATCAGACCTGCTCATCATGTTGCAATTAACAGAAACATGAACATCTGCACACGGAAACGAGTTCAGAAGAAACTCATCCTGGCTGTTTACAGAAACCATCAATAGATGTTGCGTCAAGAGTTTTTAAAGAGGCAGAATCATAAAATCCACTTGACTTTAATTTTCTCTCATCAAAAACATTCCTGGAATTTTTTTCATTCTTTCATGCATGTTTACAAAATCCTCTAACCTCCATGGCGACCATTCAGCTGTGTGAAATGCCTGGGTGGATCTAGCCCCGCCTTCGAGACAAAGCTCCAACCCTTTGCCTCCTTCAGACTAGCCAGCAGCAATTAGCAAACAGCTGGTGGAACTGCTGAGCTCATTATAGGAGCTACTGCTCAGCTAAACGCAGGTAAAAACCATGCTAAAGTTTTGGGATGACTTCCTGAAGGTGGAGTTTCTTAAAGACACAGAGGTCCAATTTCAAGGTGTTAAACTTATTTTATTTTATATACACAGCATTTTTCTAACAACTGGAGTTAGCGTAGCCACTTGGCTAAGCTATAAAATGAGCCTGGAAACAACATGACGTTCCCCTTTAATAGCTGACGCTGTAGGTTTGCATCTTTTGTTGTAAAGTGTTTGGTTTTAACCCGTCTGTTCTGGTTCTGGTCCGGTCTGTGAGGTCTGGACCTCGTCTCCCTCAGCAGATGGCTGGTATTAGAGACAATGAGGCCAAATGGGAAAACCGTTTCCTCCCCTTCCACCTCCTGATTGTTTCCCCCTCAGCTGGCGATCTGAACCGAACGTGAGCCGCTTCGAGTCGGGACGGGTTCTAACAGAACCTGGTGCTGGTCGGACTGGGCCCAGTTGGTCCGGCTGCCTGGTAGAGTCTGACTTTAAAGATCTGAAGCAGCATCTGATCAGATTAGAGTGTCTTAGCTTCTAAAGGCAGATTAATAAATGATCAATTAGTAAATGTTGATTAGTCGTTAAACGGCTCCTTTCATCCCACAGAAAAAATTAACTTTTACTAAATATTTAACATTCAGAAATCATTAAAATATTAACGGTTCAGTAGATTTCTGTTTTTTATTAATTTCATTCAACATACATTTTTGCTTTAACCTCATATTTCAGTTTGGATGATAAAGTTCTGAACATGTTTTGATTTAGTTATTTTACTTCATATTTAGGATTCCTAATCGTATTTCTGAACCGTTTGAGAGACGGTTTGTTTCCAGTTTCAATTTCACATGTTTAAAACTCGACATCCTTTTGTCACTTTCTTTTTTATTTATTATAAATTTGCTGTTATATTCCTAAACCCTGAAGTAGAACTTTATTGTGATAAACTTCCTGTAGAAATAATTCTGATTAAAATCCAATTAATGATGTTTACACACCCCAACACTCAGGATTGTCAGTTTAACTGTTTGTTCAATGAAAGCACCAATAAATTTGAAAATATGATTAGATGCAGATACGGTTCGCAGTTCAATGATAGAAATCAAACTTTATCTGACTGGTGTCTGAAAGAAGCGCGTTAATGTTTTTCAGGAGCAGGTTTTGTGTTTTGGGCTATAAATTGTTCTTAGTCATTTTTATTATCACAACATATTGTAATAAACTTGCTATGCAGACTTTCATTGCATAATCCATAAAACCAGTATAAACTATTTATTCTCATCTAATAAAATCATGTTTGGATAAAATTTGGATAAATATTATTGTTGCTTTGAGAACAATATATAAAGTAAAAGTGAAACATTTGAACATTTAACACTGGAACTGGAAGACATTTTGAATCTAAACAAAACAAATTGATTAAATTAATTATGAAGGAAAATTGTCCTTCAAATAAAAGGGCTCCTTTATCGAGTTTATTTTAAGTTGATCATCCAATTATCATTTAATTGGTTTTATTGAGACAGACCAAATAATTTCAAATGTTTTATTTTTTAAGCTGTTTGGAAATAAAGGTCAGAATTCAGATGCAGCAGAGGAAAAAGGTGTAAAGTTTTTGGATGGTATTAAAGGAGAGAAACCTTCTTCAAACTAACGCCCACGTCTCGTCGCTCCGCAGGAACGCCAAGAAGGAGTCGGACCTGGAGGCGGCGCTGCTGCGGCTGCGGGACCTGGAGGCCATGCTGAACTCCAAAGACGCCGCCTACACCACCGCCCTGGGCGAGAAGCGCAACCTGGAGACCGAGCTGAAGGAGCTGAAGGCTCAGCTGGCCAAGGTGAGCGCGGCCCGAGTCCGACCGAGGACTCCTGAGGCTTCTGCGGTCAGCAAAGGTCACTTCCTGCATCAGAGCAGCAGAAATCCTCGCTCTGCAGTCTGATTTGTGGTTTTTGGAGCGGAGAGCGACGTTGCCGCTCCGTTGCTGTCTCTGAGTTATTCCTGCACGTTGTATGCAGAAAATAATTTCCATAATTGCTGATTATGAATGAGGGGATGACTTCCTGTCAGTTTTATCAATGAATCTCTGCTCAAAGCTCTGCGTTGTGGCTGCGCTCCACCTACTGTCCAAACCCAGGACCTGCACCTTTTTGTCCAGTTTTTGTTTTATGTTTTTTTAGCTTTTTTTTCTGTTTTCTTGTCCCAGCTGGACGGCAGCTTTGCCGATACGAAGAAGCAGCTGCAGGATGAGATGCTGCGGCGGGTGGATGCAGAGAACCGCCTGCAGACCCTGAAGGAGGAGCTGGAGTTCCAGAAGAACATCTACTCCGAGGTTGGTGCTCCTCGTCTCGTCTGTTTTTCTGCAGGCAGTTTGTTCGCTTCCAAAAAGCGGCTGCTGGTTCTGCATCTCCTCCTCCAGATTTGCTCCCATGTTACATGGGAGCAACTTTGACTTCTGCAGAACAGGATCACAAATGACGGGGAATTAAAAACTGACTTGGAAATTTAATTTCATCTCAAACTTAAATTTTTTTTTCTCAGAAATTCTGTCTTTGATCTCAGAGTTTGTAGCTTAATTACTGAATTCTGACTTTTTTCCTTAGAATTTGCACTTTAATCTCAGAATTCTGACTTTTTTTGAATTTGGAAAAATGTGAAAAGAAAATGTGTTTTTTCTATCGTCTTCCGTCTTGATTTCTCTTGAAAACCTGCTGCTGTGACTCACCATTTCTTTCTGTAATTGCATTTTAATCTTTCAGTTTTGTTTTTGTTGTGAAACGTGAATAAAAATTCTGTTTAAATGTGATGATCTGCTTATGGACTTTTTGCTGGAGCTCCTAAGAAGTCATTTCATCCGGCTGATCAATCCAGTTAAATTACGAGGCCTCAGATTATTATGATTTAAATGCAGATGATCTGGGTTTTGTCAGCGTCTCTGAATGTTTGTGTTTCTTTGCAGGAGCTGCGTGAGTCGAAGCGTCGACACGAGTCTCGCATCGTGGAGATCGACAGCGGCAGGCAGCAGGAGTTTGAGAGCAAGCTGGCCGCCGCGCTGACCGAGCTGAGGACGCAGCACGAGGACCAGGTCCGCCTCTACAAGGAGGAGCTGGAGAAGACCTACCACTCCAAGGTGGGATCACAGGCCGCAACGTCTCATTAACACAGATTCATCTCTTAGATCCAGGAGATTAAACTCGTTTTGATTTCAGGCAACATCAGAATCGTTGATGTCCTCAAACAGCAGAATGTGTTGATAAAACTACAATTTAACAAATTGGTACTTCTTAAAATGCAACAACTTTAAAATTTTTGATATTAATATAATAATGAAAATAAAATATTTAACCACACAACTGTTAAAGCTCAGGGACACTAGAGGACTTCATAAATAGTGTTTTCATTTAGTGACTTTATTTTCAAAATCTGTTGAAAATGTTGAAAAGAAGTGCATAAGTTTAAAACTTATGCATGTTTTAAACATAGCTTAAAACTTATGCACTTGTGATTTAAATTTCTTATCTAATGGTGCAATTATAAAGTTGTTTTTTTCTACATTCATTTGTCATAGAAATACTGAAAAATAATTGACAGTAAATGAAAACCCTCCAAACTGAGGGGTTTTAAGTGACGAGATGAAAGTCAGAGGTTTGTTTTTCTCTGTTTGTCCGTCTCCGTGCTGCAGCTGGAAAACGCCCGCCAGTCAGCGGACAGACACAACCACTTGGTGGGCGAGGCTCACGAGGAGCTGCAGCAGACCCGGGTCCGTCTGGAGGGCATGACGGTCCAGCTGACCCAGCTGCAGAAACAGGTACCGTTTCCTCAATGTCTCAGCTTTGTCTCATCCAAGTGTTCTTGGTCAGAAGGTTCAGTTCCAATGGCAGATTATTTCATTAATGACATGGGAAAAAATTCTTGTCAGTGAAATAATCTTTGGTTTCAAAGTAAAGAATTGCTGACTTGAAATAAACTGTTTTCTTGCTGAACAGTTTTTTGCCAAGTTAGTTTTGTCTCTAAGATATTAGTGTAGTGACGTGTTCTTTCAGGCAGCATCACCATGAATGGACTTGCAGCCACACAAACAAACTGTTCTGATGCTAAATGAGTGGGAATCCAAAATGTTTGCAGAACTCATTTTGTTTACCGATTTCTATGAAATATGTCTGAAATTAAAGTGGAGAAAACTCCTGATACTTTGATTTGTATAAAATATTTGTTCTTCCAGTTTGGTTTCTGTCCAGATGCAGGAGGGAATTAAATGAAGTTGTTATATTGGTCAGTTCAATTTACATACCACTAATTGCTGCTGCAATTAGGAGACGTAGTTTAAATACTTTATGATGTATTTTATCCCATTTAATGTCTGCTGCATCGGGTGGAAAATAATTTGATTCCCTGATGAAGGTCGCTGCAGAACGATCATGTGACTCACGCTGAGTCATGTGACTCCTTGGCTTCAGTAATTGGTTCAGTAATGGGCCCATCGGCGATGCGTTTCCTCTGACTGACCCTCGTGTCTCTGGCAGCTGGCGGCCAGCGAGGCCAGAGTCCGGGAGCTGGAGGAGTCCATGGCACGGGAGCGCGACATGATGCGGCGCCGCATGGAGGACAAGGACCGCGACATGGCCGAGATCCGGACCCGAATGCAGCAGCAGCTGGACGAGTACCAGGAGCTGCTGGACATCAAGCTAGCCCTGGATATGGAGATCAGTGCGTACAGGAAGCTGCTGGAGGGAGAGGAGGAGAGGTGAGCTGACACATGGATGTGTTTCTGAGGAGGAGACGGGGGAAGATGATGCTGCAGGAAAGCCAGTGGATTTTCCACACATGGTGTCATTTTATAGCATAATCAAATAACTCTTGCCTTTAGTTGTTGTATCCAAAATGACTCAAAAACAATTTGACTTGCTGATTTAATGCCTAGAAATTGGGCCTCTGTCTCTTTAAAAGCTCCTAATTTTTTGTGCTTTTGCTGACTTTGAAAGCGTTTAGCGTACTTGGCTACTTTAACTCTATATTTCCCACTACTACCCTTTAGTCGCTGGTTAGCGATGCACAGTTTGGTACGCTTCTGCTATTCTAATAGCATAGCTAAATTTTAGCTGAGCTCTTTTGCTAATTTTGAAAATATTTTTGCTTTTCCTGAATCAATTTTTCTAGATAAATTCCAGGTGAATTTGCTCAGTCGGCAAGTTTATCCGGCAACGAGGCGAAGCGACGGTTTCCTTCATTGTTCTGTAAACAATCAGTTAAAGAAGCTGTTTTTTACTCCTCTGCTCCGCCAGGCTCCGCCTCTCTCCCGGCTCCTCCTCCTCTAAGGTCACAGTGACCCGGTCCTCGGGGTCGGGCCACGCAGGTCGCCTGCTCCTCTCCTCTGCTGCGGCAGCTGCCGCCTCCAGCAGCCGCACTTCGTCCAGCGCCAGCAAGAAGCGCCGCCTGAATGACAACGACAGCGAGACGTCCAGCGTGGTGGGCGGCACCGTCACCAAGACCCGCATCAGCCAGCAGGCCTCCGCCACCGGACGCATCACCGTGGACGAGGTGGACCTGGAGGGCAAGTTCATCCGTCTGAGCAACAAGGCGGACGAGGTAACGAGTTGCTCGCAGACTTTATAGACCCTGAAAATTACACCCAACTGACAAGACCATAAACATTTTCACTCTCGTCAGGATCAATCGCTGGGAAACTGGCAGCTGAAGAGGCAAGTCGGCAGCGGTACCCGATCGTCTACAAGTTCCCCAGCAAGTTCACCATGAAGGCCGGATCCACCGTGACGGTGAGTCCAACGCCCGGGTCGGCTGGTTTTTACTCTGTTAAAGGGAAGTTCTGTACAAAACTGAATAGATTTATTACCAGATACGCCATACTGTGAGCATACTGTAATTCTAACTCAAAAATAGTAAAAGAATTAAGAAAAAAGTACAAGACGAAACAAAGTTTTTGTTTTTTTATTTCATTTCATGTTATAATATTAAATCATCAGAAACAAATTTTATTCATGTTTGAGAAATTCTTAAATCAACTATTCATCTCTGCAAAATGCCTGAGTGAACCTAGCTCCGCCTTCAAGTCGCTGCTCCTCCCCCAGTCTAGTCAGACTCCTTCAGACTAGCCAGCAGCAATTAGCAAACACCTGTTGGAGGTACTTCTCAGTGCAGCGCTTGTAAAACCGAAGTCAAAGGGTTAATAGAGGAGCAATGACTTCCTGAAGGCAGAGTTTCCAAAAGAGCAGGAGCTTTAAAGAGACAGAGGCCCAAATTTTCAAAGTGTTAAATTATGAACTAGAATTTCTTGTTAGTCATATTTGATGCATGTAGCATTTCGAAGGTAACATAGTAAATCAGATTATGCTATAAAATGGCACCATGTACCTGGAACAACATGACACTGGCCGTTCAAACCGAGCTGTGATTGAATTGGTCCCGAACTGTGCAGGTCTGGGCGGCTTCTGGTGGTGGAACCCACAACCCGCCCACTGATCTGGTGTGGAAGAACCAGGCGTCCTGGGGCAGCGGTGACCTCCTGCAGACCATGCTCATCAGCGCCGCCGGAGAGGTCGGCCAGATCCGACATTTCAGTCATTTTCTGTTTGTTTCAAAACCTGAACCGTTTTCTCTTTGATCCTTCAACAGGAAATGGCCTCCAGGAAAGTGACGCGCACCCTGTTCCAGGATGAAGATGATGATGACATGGTAAACTCTTCCTCTCTAACATTTGGCTTTAAGTGAGGAGCAGCTGTGTTTCCCTGTCTGGATTCAATACTGGGCTGGACAAAAAACTAAATCAATCACAATATGAATAAATAATACATCTGCTAAAATATGCACTGAACTCCGATCTCGAAGCGCACAGCATTCTGGGAAATGTAGGCAGAGGAGAGACTTTAGCTTTCAAGGCTAAAGACAACCAACTCACTTGCACTTTTGTTGCCTAGCAACTTGCACAGTCTCCGGTTACCTAGCAACAACTAAAGTAACTTGCGCAGCAACAGTTTAGATCAAAACAGCTTCAACGGTCTGGAGGGAAAACTGGTGCTATTTCAGATACTTGAAACCAAAAACTAATCAATAAAATTAGTCAATATTGAAACGCTTCAGTTTTCAAACTTAAGCTTAGTCTGTAATTTCTGCAGTGATTGAAGAGGGTTGGTACTTATTGTATTGTTAATCATGTATCGTGATGAATTATCATTCTGATTTATCATTATAATGAAATCCAGTTCATTACATTTAAATAAAAAAATTTTAAAAACTCCATGTTGTCTGGATTGTTAGTTACTATATTTTTCATTGCTGCAATGAAAAACATCAATAAATTTGAAATATAATTAAATGCAGATGTGTTATGATCCAGTTTAGTGATGCAGTTCAGATTACTTTATATGATTGGAATAATTTTTAAGATCAGTGTTTGTGGGACTGTAATTGCTGTCACAGTTATAGTTCCCTAGAAAAGTAGTGATAAACTTTAAACAACTCACTTTTAAAAGGAAACAATTCTGAATCATGTTATTATGTGGAGAAATGTCTCTTATTCAACTGAAGCAGAAAAACTGTAAGTTATCTAGTTAAACAAGCAGTTTAATATCATAAAATATAAACATCGGTCCAAAGAAAATATCTCTGAAGATGCTTGTTGGTCATAATGTTTGTTTGTTGTTTGGCGCCCCCTGCAGGGAGCCCACAGCACCAGCGGCGCAGAGAACGAGTACAACCTGCGTAGCCGCACGGTCATCTGCGACTCGTGTGGCCAGACGTCGGATCGCTCCGGCGGGTTGGACGGCCTCATAGGACATCCTCCTTCATGGGAACCAACGACCCCAGACAGGTGCGGCCCAGTTCCTCTGGTCAACTTCCCAGCAGAACCAGAACTGGTTTCAATAAACTGGTGAAAACCAGAAGCACTCAGTCACTGCGGAGGGTTTTTTTTAACAAAATCAAAGTAAATCCACTATTTAAATAATGCAACAATGTCCCTCGCTCCATTTAAACCCATTAACTGATCAAATCTTCATTTATGTAAGTTTGTGTTTTCATTTTAGCTTCTGTCTGTAAAAACATCCGAGGGAAACTTAACAGAATCACAGCAAAAACACAAAATGCATTTTCCTTTAGCTTCTAAAGCAAATAACTTGTTACACATTAAATAAGACGAAGCTAAGTTAAAACTTTCAGCAAGATACAGGAGCTCCTTTTTAAGAAAATATTTCCTTAATAGCTCAAAATAAAGAAGTATTAATTAAACTGGCAGATTATTTCACATATAACATGGGAAAAATGTCTCGAGTTAAATAATCTACCAATAGAATTATCAATGTTTCATCAATGTCAAAGTTTTCACTAACTTATAAGGAGATGCTTGTAATTCATTAATAGTTTGATATTATGTCATATAGCAATAAGTGAAATAATAGAACTAGTTCTTTTCCATCAGCATTAAACATTTATTGTCTTAAAACGAGTCCTCATATCTTTATGAAAAGTTACTTAAAGGTTAGTTTTGTCTTATTTCCAGTGGATTGAGACATTTGCACTAGAAAGTAACAGAAATGTTTAAGATTTAGTGTTTTAGCTGCTACAGTAGCTTCTCTTTATCATTTCACAATAAATAAAATTCTGGTGCAAAAAAATCTATTTAATCTGATTGGTTTACAAATTGAACCTTAAGTCTGAAGTTAATGATCTAGTTAATAAAGTGAAGCTAAAAGCAGCTACAGAAAAGGGAAAGCCTTCCTGTTTGTTGCTGCCGCTCTGATCTCTCCCTCAGGGAAAAGCTCTGGGCCGTTTCTGGGTGAAATATTCAGTTTTTTCTGAAAGACACAATGAAAATCTTTCATTTTGTGTCCAAATGAAGCAACACTTCATGTTAATCATGTAAAATTCAGCATTATTAAATTGAAAGTACTAAAACATTTATTTACACCAAACTGCCAAAAGCCTGTTACCTTTTTCTGATCGTTCGCGTTCAGAGACTCGTTCTGACTCAGAAGGCTCCTACAAGAAAAGTCATCCAACGTATTGTTAAAATTTAAGCATAAGAGTAAATATTTATTTTTATTTTTTGTCGTTTTCTCCTGTAGGGTGGCATGAAGCCGGAGAACTGCTCCATCATGTAGAAACCAAAGAGCACCTCATCCAAACGCACCACAGAGCAGGATCCTTTTGTACCATCAGGATCCATTTTTATTTTTTTATATGATAATTTGTTTCTGTTTTGTATCCAGATTAATGTGCAGGTTGGATCTGCTTCATGGTTTTGGGCTTTGGGCTCAGGATGTCTACATTTCCTCATGTTGAATTCATTTTTCCTGCATGTCTTGTTTTGGCCTGCGCTCTGTCTGCACACTCCGCTCCGGTCCGGTCCAGTCCGGGCTTTCGCTGCCGCCGCTGAACGCACACAGCTGGCGAACAAACCCAGAGCTTTAATAATCATGCTGATTGAAGACTTCTGTTTACACTTTGTTTGCTGGAACGGCATCGTTTCCATGTGTATATGCAATCCTCCAAAGAAAAGACTGTTGGCTCAGGTTTTTAAACAAGCATCTTGTATATTTGCTTTAGGCCACGTAGTCATGCAGCGGTGGTGCGTAGAATTTATCAAATTAAACTTGCTTGCACAGATAAAATTCAGCTTCTACTTTAGAACATCTACAGAACATGGCTTGGTTTGCAGAAAAAGTTTAACTCTGATGTTTTGCTTTATTTTCCTCTTTCTAAGCACAGCGTGGTTCAGCTGGTCCACAAGCGCTGATCAGGCAGTAGCAGGAGCATCTGACAGTCCAGACAGGGAGAGAAGGTCAGAAAATGGAGGAAACCCTGCAGCAGTGCAGCTTAAAGGAGGCTGGCTGCTGGCATCTTGCTAATGTTTGTTCCTTCCAAAAAAACACAAAGTTGTTGTGAAATATTTGCGCTCCACGTTACAACAGAGCACCTGCATTCAAACCCCCAACGTGACCCAATCAAACTCCACTTAAAGCTGCAGTACGTAACTTTCACTGAAATATGTTCTTCCCATATTTAATAAAAATATCGCCACATCATTACAGTTTAATATGAGACAAATAATCTGTAAAAATAATAAAATCTAGTGCTTCCCATTACGCTCTAAAGAAATTTACTGCTTCTGGTCAAAACCAACCAATCAGAGCCAGGAGGCGGGTCTTGTCGCTGTCAATCACCTCATGCGCTGAGTCCCGCCTCCTGGCTGTGTTTTTGACTGAGTTTCTGCAGGTATCACTGGGAGAAAGCAGAAGAGCCCTTTTTTTTTTTTCTTCACAGATTATTTGTCTTCGATCATCTCAACAATGTAAAAAAAAAAGAAGACTTCTTTACATATATATATAAAAGTTGCCCACTGCAGCTTTAAGCCGCTGTCTGACTGTCAGATGCTCCAGAAACTGCCGGCTGTGACTTTTCCTTCTGTTCTCAACATGCCTTTAGATCCAGTTCTTCCCATCGCTGGACTGCATGTGAAACCAGTGAAACCAGTTCTAGATGTTTAATTTCCAGTGACTCTAATCTGAGAATATTAATTTATTTGGATTTATTTGAGTAAAGTGAACAGGAAGCTGCAGGAGTTAAATCAGAGGAAAGAAACTTTCTCTGCTCACATAATTCTTCGGTCTTGTGACAGTCAGCCTTCCTCTTCCTCCTCCTCCTCGGTTTGTGTCGCTCTGTAAAACCGGTCACAAGGGCTTCTTTCTTTTTTCCAGTTGAACTCTGCATCTTTAGAAATAATTTTGGGATTAGGACTTTTCGCACTGCTTTTAGAGGTCTGCAGCATGTATGCAAAGCAGGTAGATTTGTACTGTAGTTTGGCAGCTTTATGCATTTATACTCCATGTTACAGTTTATCAGCACAGAAAATACTTGATGGATTTTTTTTGTCTGATTTGTCATTCAGGCCAAAAATATTTTATTTTAAAACCCTAAAGTGCCTCAGCAACCTTCTAAAAACACCCCATGACCTCCGTTTGAAAGAGCAAAGATCTAGTTTTGACCATGTTTTTATGTTAAGATCATTTATAGAGAAGTTATTTTTTCAGACAAGATGTTTGTCCCATTTAAACGTCTCAAATTTTACCCAAATCTGTTGATGTCAAAGTGTTTCCTCCCTTTAAAGTGGAGAAATGATCAGAAACAAAATGCCATGCTTTGACTTGCTGTAATTGTATTTGTTTTCTAAAATGAAGCCAAATAAAAGCTATTTTTCCCACTGGTTTCTTTTCCTCCAGTTGATCACACCAGCTGAAAAAGTGCGAACATTTTTATTTGCATCATACAAACACATACATGTACCCACAGTTACATTCAGAAACAAGATTACATGTCCAAAAATATTTACAACACAAAGTACATTCAGGTGGAATCAGAGAAATTGTTTTTAACTGAAAACATCAAATCTGCTCTATAGAAACTTTATGCCAAATAATGAATATTCAGGAACATTTGGCGCCCCCTGGTGGCCACACATCTCCATGATCACTGCAGGAAGGCAGGCACTTTATTTCTAATGTCACTTCTTCAAAATGCAACACTGACAAAAATAATTTCTTAAACTGCACTGCAAAAACAGAATCTTAATTAATTTGGTTCTCGTTTGTCACATGAAATAAAATTAACTTGCATTTCAACTGCATACAGGAACTTGTTTTAAGTACATTTTTCATTGAATAATTGGATTTGAAACAAGCCCATCAAGTTACCATTTGTCTTAAAGTTATTTGCAGTAGAAACTAAATAATACTTTAAGATTTGGTTTTGCAGTTTGTAATGATGGAAATCAATGGTTATGATTCATAGTGTAGTCAAATATACTTTTAGACATTAGACACTTTTTTCTTTTTTTTTTTTTTGGTAATGAATAAAATTTGAAGCCAGAATTTAAAGTGTTAAAATCCTGAAAAGGTTTGACTGCTCTGAGAACATCATTTATGAAAAAAAAAAAAAAAACAGAAGGAATGTGGAGTTTTTAAGTCAGTTTTTGTACATTTCTCCCAATCATTTGAGTCAGTAAAATGTTTGAACTCTTTTACAGAAACGGTTTATTTAACCAAAGGCTGTAGGTAACAGACCTGCTCTGTAATATTCATCAGTTATGAACTTGATAGAAGTTAATTTGTTGAGAAATGACATTAGACATTTAATGGATGCAGGAGAAGCTCCAGGCTCTAATATGTGACCTTTACAGCTTCAGGGTTGAAAATGTCTTACTTGCAAAACACTCCACCATTAAATGTTTCATAAAACTATTTTCACTTGACACTAAGTGAATCTAACTCCATTCAGGAAAAGTCCAGCTGTAAACTTGTGCATCTAATTAGCAGATTACTGATGTGTTGTTTATTTCTGTTCCCATTAAAACAGTAATAATAACTCTGCAGCTGGAGGAAAGTTTCTGGATTCTCAATAAGTTCACATTGAGAACCTGAGCTGCAGAAAACCTCTGGAAGCTGCTGTAGAGTCATTCATGTTGCCACCAGCGCAGAGCTTGCTCAACGTTTGCAGCAGAGCTGCAGACAGACGGACGAAAACTTCCGTTTCTGGTCCGTTAAGGACAGAAGAAATTCTGAAAATGAGCTGAAGAGGGTGGAAAAGTTGATGTCTGCAATCCATGTTTGGTTCTTCTCAGAAGACGTTTTCCCAAGATAGAGTTGGATCAAAAGTTAAAGGTAAAGCAACTTCTTCCAAAGAAAAAAAACAATCCATCAAAAGTTTGGTGATTATCCAGCATGATGAATGGCGTCACAAGGCCCATAACCCAAACCTTGAAATGTTGAGTTGAGAAAGTCTGAATCGCACTGAGGACCTCGGGTTTGTTCTCCAAAACGGTTTGAGAAAAACAAACCAACTGGGATCAGCTTCAAGCTAACAGTCTGCTTGACTCGGTTCGGTTGGGAAATTAAAACATTTGGTACATTTTCAGCTGCTGTGGTTCATTTTCACACTGCATTGAGTTAATTTGAAAAACCTGTTCCCCTCCTCGCCTGCGGGGGCGCTGCAGCAAAAACCACTGAAGGAAATGCCATGAAAACCTCTGAAGAAGAAACTGAACTCAACTTTATTCTCCTTGAAATGAAAAGAAAAATGGAGCGGCATCAGACTTCAGCGCCGGTCAGGATTTCTCTTTTGTCTTTGGGAAAAGACCAGGAAGCATTTCTGCTGCTAACGCATCTGGTTTTGTTGTATTTACCCATAATGCCCTGTTTTCATCAGCCCTGTTTAGTCTGCTTAGAAAGTCCAGTTTGTTTAGGGAGGTGATAATCTAATGAACTCTAGTGTCCTTGTTGAATTGAACTCTGCAGTTCAGATGTATATGTGAACAACAAACGAACAAAAGCAGGAAGTCAACGGCAGCGCAGGGGATTCTGGGTAAATACAACCATAACAAATGTGAGAGTCCAGCTCTAATGGGACAAATAACCTGTGGTCAGAAAACAGGAGAAATCCTAGAACAGCTAAACTCTGCCACTCTGGTTGTTTGAGTTTTTTTAAAGGGTTTGCTCTCAGTGTGAAAGTGAAAAGCAGCTGAAAATGTAACAAATGTCTCAAATTGTGTTACCAAATTGAATCAAATCTACCAGACTGTTGGTTGTGAAAATACCCTTACTGTGCTTTGACTTTTAAAATTGAGCTGTGAGGTTCTAGTATAAAAATATATATATTTTTATATTTACTGAAAGTGTCACTATGTTGTGTGAGACAAATAATCTGTGAAAAAACATCTTTCAGATTATCTGTCATATCAGACTCTCATGACATGGTGACAGTTTTAACAATTTGTAAAATATTTTTTATATCTGTTACATACTCCAGCTGTAAATAACCGGAGAGCTGTTTGTTTATTTACAATGTTCCTTGTGGTGATATTATATTTACTTCCATATGTACAGAGTTTTTCATCCACATTCTGGGCCCAATATTCCTGGAGTTTGACGCTTTGCTTTGGCTTTCATGACATTTTCAAAAACCTTAGAGTTTTTGAGAAGCTGCCGGCTGCATTTTTTTTTCTTTTAATGTTTTCTACTTTAATGAAGTCAGAAAAGCAAAATAAAAGCTGAAATCACATCGCAGTAAAGCTCCTCTGTCACCAGTTTTCCTGGTTCTTCAGTCCTGGTGACAGCAGTACCGTCTGTTGGCCACAGGGGGGCAGTGCTGCCCTCAAACAGGACCTTACTAAGTTTGTAGGTGAAGAACAAACAATCTGCTCTTCTCCATCAGCCCTCAGGGAGGAGGGCGAACCCGCGGCGCCTCTCCGGCTCTCACTGCAGCGTTCTGCGCGGGGCGGGCCGGGGGGAGGGCGGCCGGCGCACCGGGGGCAGGTCGTAGTGTCCCGGGATGTGGCTGTTGACGGGGAGGTCGTAATGGCTCTGGGGGTCATCATGCGGGGCGTGACCCAGGGAGCTCTGCCGCTCTGATACAACAGCAGGAGGAGAGCTTTATAAAATCAGAAAACTTAAAAATAAAACATTTCTGACTTTGAAACTCTAAAATTTCTAAAACAATTTTGCAGCAATACCATTAATCTGAAAATTTAGAGTTTTTACTGTTGAAACTCCTAAATGTTCTTGTTTTTGTGGAGCTGGACCTCACCTCTGCGCAGCGTGGCCATGCTGAACGGCGGCGGGCTGATCTCGGTGTACGCTCGCTCTCGCGGCATGGCCGCCTTCATCTCCATGTAGCTGCTCTCCGGGGGGCAGAACGGCGGGCCGGGCAGATCCTTGATGGTGGCGTACGGGTTCTCGCTGTTCAGAGAGCTGCTGCTCGCCGCCACCAAGTCCTTCAGCTCTGCTCACAGGTGGGATGAAGGAAAGCCAGCGGTT